ACTCAAAGTAGATCCAGCCAAGGTGATCTGCTCTGGGTATATGACTAATGGTGGACACCATCCAAAATAAAATGGAAGGTAGAACATAAAAATGGATAATAGTCTAATTATAAATAAGAATTCACTGAGGGGGAAGGGGAAAACAAGTTGAGGGGCATCTTCTGTATGCTAAATGTCATACCAGTTTGAGGAAGGAAAGGATAACATTGCATTTGTTGATTTCATTTTCTACAAATGGCTTTATAAATGCAGGTCTGGAACAATTTATAAAGTATGTGCCCTATTTGAAAACATTAGTTGTCCTTCCAGCAACTGCAGGGAAATTCAGGACTGGAAATCACTGTCAGACACCTGCCAAGAACATAATTATTTGCTTCCAGCCAGACTAACTAGTCACTGTCATGTCAGTGGAGGATGTCCCTTGAAGATCTGATTGAACATGAATGTAATATGTCTTATAGGTCAGGTAAAATAAATTTGCACTGTCCTGCAAATCCATGTTTAGTGAGGACATAACAATTTGTGCAGACAGCGCACTTTCACATTTAATGAAGGAAAGAAACAATCCTGAAAATACCACCAGAAACATTGTAGCACCAGTCACTTATTTAAAGTAACATGGTGATTTAAGCAAACACCCATGTAAGGGAAGCCCATTGTGGAAGAACTTTGTTTTTCAAGGAGATAGGTTAATTGGCCTGCATAATTATTCCTCCTGGCTTATAGGCACATCTGTCAAGGGTTTTTGGTTTGCTTTGTTGTTTTGATTGACTGTTGGCCCTTCAGGGATAAATGTCATCAGGATGTGGAACTATCTGGCGGTGATGTAACAATCCCTCACACAATCCCAGTAATGATTTCTGGAACAGGTGGGAGGGATTTAGATATCAAGCCAGCCAGCATGTAGCCACTAATGGTCTGAACTCTGGTTCAGAATCTACACACATATAATAAAACATTCTGAAAATGTTTTTTTTTAAGCGTTTTAAAAAATACATTGAATTTTTCATAAGGCTCACTATTGCCACCTAGTGTCACATTGTATATTGCACTTGAAACACACTTAAAACATTTTATTTGCAGCTGTACAGCTGAGTCCTCTGAAGTATATAAATCTCCCAGATGGGGGTCTGACCTTTGAGCTTTGGCATATGCCCAAATTGGTAGGGTGCTGCGTGCTGGCAGTCCTCTGTTGCTGTTTCCTGGGGCTGAATGCCCTTAAAATCTTCCTTCAGACCTTCTTTCTCTATGTGCTCCCAAATACATTCTGCACCAGAAGGAGTTTCTTGACCAGGCCCAGGGACAGCCCAACAAAAAGCGTATTACAGCCATCAGTCTCAATATTACCAGTGGCTATACTGGCCAAGTGATTCCAATCTTTTATATTACAAGCCTATCAGTGTAAAAACAGGAGAATTTTATCCTAAGAATCACGGGGGCACAACGGAAAGAGGTCTTTCAATACATAGACAGGGGGATTAATTTTTGCAGTTTTTAAAAATTCTCTGTGCATTAAGACATTATTAAGACTCTATGAGGCAGATAATGCTCTTTCTAAATATAAAGATCTGTGTCTGCTTTTCCTTGAAGTTGCTTATTATTTATTGGGATTTTTAGGGCTATTAAATGAATCTTATTTAAGGGTCTGCCAGGCACCATTACTGTCATTTATTAAAGTAACAAAAGTATTTGCTTCTGTGCTAATGTCACCTTGCAAAAATACTGCACAGTCTTCTATAGCTGCTTGAGTTTTTCCTAGAATTTGCTGCTACAGTGCCTAATTTGACAAACTGTTTAATGCCGTGTTTTCTTTATAACACTCATCAGAATTGCGAGTGCCTTCTGTAATGTCTCCAATGTGAGCCAACGTATGTCCTGGCGTTCGCACAGGGCCCCCGGTCATTCCATAGACTATGGACCCTGCACCACCATGGCTTATCTCTTCCACTGCCACCAACCAGGTTCCCCCGGTAATATATTCAGACTCAGTCAGAATGTAGCGTATTAACAAAGATTCGAGTTTATTGTGAACGCAAACAAGTTTTAAATACTTTGAAACACTGTAATCCGATTCACTCTCTCTGTCTGCCCTCTGTCTCTAACTCACTCTGACTCGTATACCTCCCACCCACAAGAAACCAACCGAACTAACTGCCAAAACCCCTGTGTTGAGCCTTAAACACAGTTAGGCTCTGCCCCTGAGCTTTCTTATTGGTCAGCCTATTAACCCTTTCTATCCCCCAGTACGACATCTCCATAATGAGTGGGCAAACGCCACAGCCACCTTGCAAAAATACTGCATAGTCTTTCTATAGCTGCTTGAGTTTTTCCTAGAATTTGCTGCTACAGTGCCTAATTTGACAAACTGTTTAATGCAGTGTTATCTTTATAACACTCATCAGAATTGCTAGTGCCTTCTGTAATGTCTCCAATGTGAGCCAACATATGTGTCATGTAAAAGTTAGCAGTGCAACTTTTTGACAGACAAACACATGGTGGGAAGGATATGGCAGAAATTATTTCTTCCCAAATAAATAAAAATAAACAAAACTGCTTCTAACAGTTTGGATCTCAGCCGGCTAAGAAGGCCTCACACTTCAGTTTAATTTCCCCTGCGTGTGTGTCTTTGATGTTCCCATGATAAGGAACAATTTTTTTGTTTTTTAATATAAAACATTCTTTACCAGCCATTCTTCAGGAGAATCCAAGGCAGCGTACAAAAGTCTGAAAACAATTCACACAACTCGCACAACACATATATCTTTAAACAGACAACACAGCAAACAACGAAATAAAGGGCAGGCAAAAACATGAAACTAAGGCTACATCTACACTATATATTTAAAGCAGTATCAAACCACTTTGAATAGTCATGGCTTCAGTTTGTTAAGAGTGCCAAGAATTGTTAGGAGGTACAGAGCTTCCACTTTCATAGTGGTTTAGTAGTCAATCCTTCTTTCCAGGGAATTATGGGAATTGTACTGTTTTCTGCGGGAAGGAGGGGGTATCCTAATGGCTAAGAAGTTTTGTGAGGAGAACACAGGTAAAGTGGAGAAAATGGTTTTAATGAGCAAAGCAGGATTTTGTTGAGGTGCCTTCCAGTTAAAACTTATCTGTGCTCTAACACTTGCTTGTGCTTTGAGTTCCTTGGAAATTCAACAAACAGCCTGCAGTAGCTCCAGATTTTGCCACCAGCAGCTGAAGTCCTTTGAGACAAGCTTGTTCTCCGTGAATGTAAAATTCATTCAAATTAGTTATGTACAAACCAGTTTGATTTTTTTAAAATAAAATAATAATAATAATTGACCTGAATTTTGAGCATAAACTCAAACAAACTCAGAACATGCCCTGAAGCCTGCTTAAATTGCCTTGCCTTTCTAAGTTATGTGTAATGTCATTTTCAAGTTCTGCCAGCCTGGGATAAATTATTGAAATCCCCCCCCCTCCGCCACCCACTCTCTTCCTCTCCAAATCTTGGAGCAAAAGCTGTGTGAACTTAGGGCTATTAACAAAACTGTTTGATAATAATTTCTGCAAGTTCATTCAATTCACTTTCAATCTTACATTAAAAACAACCTTGGAGTAAGGTGTTTTGCTTTTTTAAAAACTAAAAATGCAAAATAAACTTTGCATTTTTGTTACAAAGGAAGCCTATAGCTTAAAAAAAAACTTAGCCACTTCCATCAACAATTGTTTCAGGCTAGGAAGAGAATTGCCAAGAGCCAATATATAATTTGCACTGAAATGAGAAAACACTAGATTTTGAGAGAGTGCTTCACATATTGGGATGGGTGGGGGGACATGACAGAAGTACTATTATACCATTTAGGCTGCAATCCAAAACTCACTTACAGGAAGGTAAGACCTACTGAACTCAACAGGTCTTACTTCTGAGTCGATGTGTACAGTATTTTTTCTTTAAAATATAAAGTGACGTAGAAATTGAATGGCAATCATTATAATTATAATATTGTACTTACCACTGCTGGATCAGCTTTTGGTGCTGCATTGAGCACTCCTAGAATTTAATATATTATTATTTTAAAAAGAAAAGAAAAAGTATTTAATATATTATTATGATAATATTCTGGGTAAAATCCAGGAATGGGAAGAATGGGAAAACCACAGCAGACACATATGCCATATCAGAAGCCGCACGTCTGCTCAGAAGTAAGTTTCACTGATACCAATAGGACTTACTCCTAGGCAAATATGTATATGGTTGTGATCCTTGAGAGACACCCTTCAGCATCTAGAGAAGTTTGCCATTTGGCATTTGGCATAGGGGAGTTATTGCTTGACAAACATCAGCACAGACATTCCTTAAGCATAATATCATAAGAAGAGACCTGCTAGATCAGACCAAAGGCTCATCTAGTCCGCTAATCCTGTACCACAGCAGCCAGCCAGATACCTATGAGAAGCCCACAACACAAACATGAACTGCGTTTTCCCCACCTGTGATTCTCAGCAGAGACATACTACCTCAACAATGGAGGTAGGACATAGGCATAATGTCTAGTAACTATTGATGGGATTATTCTCCATGAATTTATCTGATCCTCTTTTAAAGCCATCAAAATTGGTCACCATCACCAATTATGTAGTTTTAACCATCTCATACTTAGGACTTAATTTGTGACACAATTTGCCAAAATGTTTGCCGATGCCTTCCCATTACAGTTATACCTCTTGTTACGTTAGCTTCAGGTTACGTCTTTTCAGGTTGCGTCCAGTAGGCGACCTGTAAGTACCGGAAGGGGTTACTTCTGGGTTTCGCCGCTCGCGCATGCGCAGATGTGCAAAATGACATCATGCGCATGCGCAGAAGCGGCGAATCACGACCTGCGCACGCGCAGACGCGGGTTGCATTCTCTTCAGGTTGCGAATGGGACTCCGGAACGGATCCTGTTCGCAACTAGAGGTACCACTGTACTGTGAGCAGTGCTATTTTTCTAGTAAAAGAGGTCCGGAACTCACCATGAACTCCTCCCTTATTCTCCTAAAATAGCAATGGCGCCCGCCTGAGAGGTGCCGGCAAGTTCCAGTTGAAAAAAAAGCCATGACTGGTGAGTAAATAGGTGGGTGCAATCCTCTTTTCTGGGAAAAGGGCCCACTGAATTCGATGGGGCTTACTTCGGAGTAAACATATAGTGGTTAGGAAGATGATGTATCACAAATACAAAGAAAAGCTCCTCCATGTTTTTTAAGTACAACATTCTCCTGAGGAGACAAATAATAATAATCAAATGTCTCTGCATCTCTCCCATGTTTGCATGGGGTTTGATGAGTTCCAGCCATCTGTGCTGGCAGGGGAGGAGGGAGAGGGCAGCATCAAATGTTTTGCCAATGTGCTGTTGCATATGTGCACATCAGTAAAATATTGCATTCAAAGAATCTTGATGTAATCAAGATCACATCAATATTGCTTATTGCCTCCCTCCCTTTTTTGCAGTGATAAATCAGAAGAAACTCACAGAGGAAAGAACACACAACTGAACTGAAGGTACTGAGACCTGAAACTAACTGCATGCACATGTTCCAAAATTAATTTTATCTTAGTTCAGATGTCAGGAGCAGTGGAAAGCAGATCCAAGTAAAATGGAAAACCCAACAAAGAAACAGAGTTGGTGAAATCCTTTTGTCCTTTCTTTCTTTTGCCCTGTATATTTGTTGCTGAATTAACCCAAGATGAATATCAAGGTAGGGGGACTGTATGCTCTTAATGCAGACTTTACATTGGCTAGGATGAATAACCATTCTTCAAGCCATGCTTGACTGAAAGGGATCAGAGATGCAGCTTGACTCAATAGTAGGATTACTAAGCCACAACAAAGGGCTAGAGGCAATGCAGCAAGCAAATGTCTGATAGCCTGGGGCAGGTATAACAATAAAGCATACATAAATATGGCTACAGAACAATTTTGCCCCAAATAATGCCTCCTGAGTGGGACGGTATTGCTCCAAAATTCCTCTTGCATCAGTGGAAAGCAATGTTACACCAGCATCATGGATATATGCCAATGCAGTGACACAGTTGCAGCATTGAATTGGGTGTACCAATTCCTGTGCTGATGGGACACTGCCACTACCAAGGGGAAAGTGGGTGGCACTGGTGGCATGTTGAGAGTCAGGTGAATTGGTTGGATTCTAATACTCACTCAGAGGCAACTGAGAATAATATTGTGCCACCAAAACAGGGGCTGTAGTAAATCACTCATATTCGATTTTATGGAAGACAGTACTTCCTTGCTGACTGGTAGATGCTCCCCCTTCTTACTCAGCTCAATGGCCTTCATGATGAGTCACACTATTATTATTATTTGATTGTAAGCCTTTCATTTCAATAAGTACCAAGGCAGGCACACAAAGAAGTAAAAACTGACAGAAGAATAACAAGTATAAAGCTGATGATAAAAATATAACTACCCATAATTATAATACATAGTAAAACAATTTCACCAAAACATTAAAACATCCATAATTAAAATGCATAATAAAGAAGCTCATTAAAACAGTGTTCTAGTTAAAGTTACAATTAAAACAGGAGGTTCAAGTCAGGAAATCAGAGGAAACCTTGTCTAAACAGGTGTGTCCTTGAGAGCTGGTGAAATGCCAGTCCTGCTGAACTACTCGTACATTTCAGCTGGGAGAGCTTTCCACAGCACTGGTACCACCACTGAAAAAGCCTACCTCTGTGTTATCACAAGCCAAAGGAGGTACCATGTACAGAGGTACAGTGAGTCTAGTCCACATTTTACCAGCTCTCTGCAGAAAAATCATGGGGGAATTTGTCAAAAGTCTTACTAAAATCACGATAAACTACGTCCACAGCATTCCCATGATCCACCAAGCTTGTAACTTGTATCAAAAAAGGAAATGAGATTTGTCTGGCATTACTTGCTTTTGAGAAACCTGTGCTGGGTTTTATCAATCGCAGCATCCTTTTCTAGCTGCTCACAGACTGAGCATTTAATTGTCAGTTCTAGGACCTTTCCTTGTATCAATGTCAAGCTGACTGGTCAATAGTTACCTGGGTTTTCTTTTTTCCCATTTTTGAAGATGGGGACAACATTTGCCCCCCTCCTGTCTGCAGGGAACTCACCTATTTGCCAAGAATTCTCTATAGACAGAGGCTCTGAGATTACACCCAGAAGCTCCTTTAGTACCCTTGGGTGCAGCTCATTCCATCTTTTCCTATCTTGGGCTGCAGTTTCCTGCTTGCGTAATTTGTTCTGTTATCACCAGGAACTCAGCTATACAGCTGCAAATAAAATGTGTTAAGAGTATTTTAAGTGCAATATTCAATGTGACACTAGATGGCCTTGTGGAAAATTCAATGTATTTTGGGGAAATGCTTTGGGGGGGAAGCATTTTCAAAATGGTTTTTATATGTGTGTAGATTCCACCCAGGTTAGGCACTGCTTTCCTTTTTTTTGGTGAAAACAGAAGCAAAGTAAGTGTTGAGCAATTCTACCTTCTCTCTGTCACCCAGTAGCATTTCTCTGTCTTCTCCATGCAGAGGACCTCCTAATTGCTTGTTCTTTCTCTTGCTTCAAACATAGCTGAAGAAACCTACTGTAGTGAAGGACAGTAGAGTAGGGGTAAGAGCCAGCTTCTGTTAGGACACTGGCAAGCCACCAACCATGAGAGAGGCATGCTTTGATGGATGAAGGGGGTTAGACATTGTGAAGAGCGAGTGGAGGCAGGATTGAGGCAGACAACTGAATGAAGCCCTTGGTTGAGAACTGTAGTTCCCCTAAGCTCTCTATCTGAAATCATCTTCAGTGCCAATGGGATCAGGAAAACAATTCTGATAACCATTCAGATAGTGATCCAGATAGATAGGAATACTGATGTCATACTACTTAGCTCCTCATAATTCCTGTGCACCTTTGAATTATAGATCTGCACTTTTAAATGCCCTGTTGTGAGGACATTATCCAGCCAAATCCTAATGCAAAGAAACCAAACCAAGCCATTAACAGTTAAATAAATTCTGGAACACTGTTAGAAAATGTGACATGCAAATGCCATTTGCAATTTAATTTAATGCATTACCCTTTAAAAACGAAAATGACGCCAAAATTCATTAATATCTCAAAATGTCAAGATCCTAAAAGAGGATCTTACCAGTGTTTCTTCCTTACAACAACACATGTATCCGAAAGATTAGACCCGAAATGATTAGACCCAAATGTTTTAATAAGTGAAGGAAGCTTTTCATCTCCCCTTCTTTTCAAAGGAAGCCCAGTCCCCCACTCTCCTTGATTAGGCTCTCCATGCTTGTGTGATTGAGTAGCAGGGTAAAAACCCTTGGAAGCATTATTTTGGGCCAGTCTCCTATTGCTAGGCCTATCTAGTTGCATTGGACACTGTGGAGACTAAAGCAAGCAGCAATGCTTACTGTTTCACTGGCGAGAGCCAGTGTGGTGTAGTGGTTAAGAGTGGTAGACTCGTAATCAGGAGAACCGGCTTCGCGTCTCCGCTCCTCCACATGCAGCTGCTGGGTGACCTTGGGCTAGTCACACTTCTCTGAAGTCTCTCAGCCCCACTCACCTCACAGAGTGTTTGTTGTGGGGGAGGAAGGGAAAGGAGACTGTTAGCCGCTTTGAGACTCCTGAAGGAGAGTGAAAGGCGGGATATCAAATCCAAACTCTTCTTTGTTGTTGTTCTTCTTCCCACACCCCTCACCTTTTCCAGCATCTCCGATTCTGTCCTTCCCATCTGCCCCATTTCTTATGAGAGAAGTAAATGCCATCCTATGACTCAGCAAGAGCAGAAATTTTGCTAATAGCTTGAGTCTCTTATTTGTCCAGCCATAAACAACCCAATTATTTCCTGTAAAAGAAAGCACATTTCAAGCTGCACTCTTATGGATCAATTCATCTCTTCTAATTAAGTTTTACATTAAAGGCAGAGTTCTGGATTTGATGCCTTCATGGGCTATAGCATTGGCCTTCTGTTACCAATAGGGATGGAGGAGCAACTCAATTCAGTTCTCATTTAATGGAGAATGTACTTAATTTGCACTTTCCAAAACAAGATGTAAACTGAAACACAGCCTTCCAAATTCTCACATTCTTGAATTTTCCTTTTTTAAAAAATAATAATATTTATTAGAGTTTCAAATAGAACAAAAAACAAAAAGAAAAAAGAGAAAAAAAGAAAAAGAAAAAGAAAAAAGATTCAACCATTACAATCCAAATTTTCAATGACTTCTTTCCACAACTTCCCCTCACCTCCCCTTCTTGTATTCCATGTCCAGATATTTATCCAACAAGTTCTTATCCCTAAATTTTTGACCTTAATTTGTTATTATATTTAGTTCAATTTATATATCAACTTTTAACTTATATACATCAATCCTTTATACTTAAATTTTTTTTCCTAGGGTCGACCCAGTTCCCCTTCCATGAATTCCCCATTTTTATACTAATAACAACACAAAATTAAAAAAAAAATTCAGACACCCTTTGGATTTCCAAACCCCACCCTCCCTTCCCCGGTTTCGATCCCCGAACCATTGTTCATTAGTCCATCTACTATCAGCCTGGCAACCTCACGTCTGAGGCCCTTAAATCTCCCTCAGTCCCTCTCTGCCGGTTTCTTTGAAAGTCCTTTATATTTATCACCAAGTCTCGGAGGGGCACTATCCCTATAATGTCCATGTTCCTTCCAGCCAGACCTCCCTGTTTAAAGGTGGAGCTCAAATCTTGTTTTTAAATCCTTTTAAGTCCAAATAGTCCAAAGGCTCCAACTTCCACCTTGGTCAAATTTATAGTCCATAGATCTTCAGATCCCCACAAAAGGAGATCTTTCCATTCCTCATTTTTAAATTCAGACCAAATTTTCCTCTTCCAGTCTTTATTTTCATACATCTTGACAGGCCTCCGGCTCTCCTTTGCCTTCTGCAGCACTGCAGCCCCTCCTTCCTGCTCTTCCTGTTCAGCATATATCTCTTTCTCCACTTCCTCAATTTTCTCTAGTTTCTTTTCTTGTTCAGCTGCCTGGGTTTTGTACATCAAGTCATTTTCCAACTCAGTAGATACATTTACTGTTGACTTCGAAGTTATGGCACATGTAGACAAAACATGACCTTGCTCATGCAACTTTCGCAACTTTCCCAAGAGAAAAGCAACCTCATCCAGGTCAGCTAGTATTTTCCGACCTATTTCCATTCTTGTAATGTCCCTGAACCCCCTCTAGAGGGATTCTGGTTATTCAGTATTCCTTTCACTTCCAACCCAAAAGTCAAGTTAATTTGTTTCAGTCCTTGTTTATTTTCAACAACTTGTAACTATATTGTATCTAATGTAACCGGCAAGAACATCAGAAATAAAGTTCTCTATTTTTCCGACTTTGACAGCTAATCTGACAGCTGTCAAAATCTTCTGTGTCTCCTCAACAGGCTCCTCTCGCGGATCACTCCCGGTCCCGGGGGGGGGGTGGCACTTTAACTCAGAAAGTTAGCTCTTATCCTCCAGCACAATTACTTATACTATCAATCCGTGCAATTAATAACTTTTATCCAATAAAGAACAGGCTCTTCACTCGACCTTAGTTGTCAAATCCTTGCTTTAAATTGTTTACAATGGGGGGGGAGACGGTCTTCCTCTTTGCACCTCCCCCGCTCGTACCGAATCCAAAAAGGTTTTAGTCCAATTTCCAAATTACTCATGGGTTGTTGTTTTTAGTTTTTAGTCCGAATTTTCAGAAGAAGAAGTCAGCGCTCTCCGTCGAATGGCATGCGGCTTCGCTCGGCAGGGGAAGCAGAAGACTCACAGCACCGCGCTGCTCCCCGTCCCCCGCTCCGTAGCCTTTAAAAAGGCTCCTTCACGGGTCGGGGGGCGCTAACGGTGCCCGCCGAGTCACCAGGTCCACGGGCTTCCGCGCCCGTGGTTTTTGAGGGTCCCCGCGTCGCCGGCGCGACAGGACCCGACCCCTGCTGAGCAGATTCCCTGGGAGGGAATCCGCCATTCGGCAATGGCGCCAACCCGGAAGTCTTGAATTTTCCATTGCAATTTTTCAGCCAAGCAAAGTGTAATCACATACAATGGTAAACTGTGCATCATCATCATCATCATCATCATCATCATCATCATCATCATCATAATTTACACCCCTCCCTCCCTGGCCAGAGCTGGGCTCAGGGTGGCTAACACCAGTAAAATTACAATTAAAAAAATAAAAATAAACCAATTTAAAATACAGGTTAAAATATAATTTAAAGTGCAGCCTCATTTTAATAGTAGCACATAGATCAAAACCATAAGGGGAGGGAAACATAAGGGTCAGTCAGACTGAGTCCAAACCACAGGCCACGTGGAACAGCTCTGTCTTGCAGGCCCTGCGGAAAGATGTCAAGTCCTGCAGGGCCCTAGTCTCTTGTGACAGAGCGTTCCACCAAGTCAGGGCCAGTACTGAAAAGTACATATATATGCATATATTGGAGAAAACAGTGTACAAAAATGGATTCTGTTGGGAAACATGCAGGCAAAAACAGTGCTAGCATGTAGAAAATAGTATCTGTGATGTACTGTACCTGCTGGATCAGATTGTAACAGTATAAAAGAAAACTAGAACAGAGTATGTTTCTCAAGTAAATAAGTGAAAGAAAAGTGAAGACCTAAATAGGGCTTTTATTAAAAACAAAACTTTTCTGGCAGATAATAAACTTTAGTAGCAACTTTTAAGAACATTTTACTTTGGATAGTGGATAGAGTTGTTTCATAGCATAACAAACCTGGTAGCAATCACCCCAGGTGCTTCTGGATTCTTACAAAAAAAATATATATCATTGTTTCTTCACACTTCATAGTCACACTTCTCTGAAGTCTCTCAGCCCCACTCACCTCACAGAGTGTTTGTTGTGGGGGAGGAAAGGGAAAGGAGGATGTTCGCCGCTTTGAGACTCCTTCGGGTAGTGATAAAGCGGGATATCAAATCCAAACTCCTCCTCCTCCTCCTCCTCTCCTCCTCCTCCTCCTCCTCCTCCTCCTCCTCCTCCTCTTCTTTCTTATAGCATTCTAGGTATAGGAATTAGGCAACAGATGCATGGGCAGTATTGAACTGCTTTATTCAGTACATTTTTAGGTGTAACTCTAAGATGCTTTAAGTAAGGGCTAGGAAAACTATGGTCCTCCAGATATTGTTGGACTACAACTCCCATCATCCTTGACTACCGACCATGCTAATGGGAGTTGGAATCCAGCAACATCTGGAGGGTCACAGGTCCCCCCAGCCCTGTTTTAAATGTACACCTGAAAGGGTTATTGCCCCAGAGGCATATTTTTAAAGCATGTGTATCGTACAGGTACACTTGCCAGGGTAATTGAAATGACTACACATCAGCACCCAAACCAGGATTTGCTGCTGTATAACTTGGAAATGGTCCCTGTTTTGGTACTTTTCTAGTCTACTAGAATCTCAGGTGTCCTCTAAGATCACTAAAGATGATGGCTGGTATTATAGCAAGCACTAAAGTTTGGTTAATGCTTCATAAGTGCAATGGGAATTCCGGGGCAGAAGGCACATTCTGTGATATTTGACTACAGCAGCTTAACTGTGGATCTTAGCCTCACCCGATGCCATAATTAGCACAATCTAATCAAGTGTTCAGAGGGCCTGAGCAAACTAAGCACACACAGCTGGCCAGACAAAAAGTAGCTTATCCATTTTGTGCTGCCAGAGGCAATTTTTTTGCCTGGTAAAGTCTGCTCAGAACTCCCCTCTGCTGTGTTTCAAATGGAAGTGTATCGAGCTGGGTATAAAAGCAAGTTCAGTTTTCTTCGCCAGCCACTTGCACTATTTATTTCTGCAAGGAGGCAGCTCCCTTTTCCAAACTGAGAATCCCTATGTAGAAAAATGGTCTTCTGTAGGCCATTTGTTATTTGGAGCTGTGTGAAACTCACAGACTCTTCAATTAAAGGATCCATCTCTGCATTAACTGTCTCCATAGATAGAGGTGATGTATGTTTAACACAGAGAGAAGAAAAGAAATGCATTGTGTGGTGGCAAAGACCCAGCGCTGGGCGAGTATGAGAAGCAGATATAACCCCGTACACTTGGCTTAACTGCAAACCAGTGACTCAACCCATCACGCATCTGTGCACCAAGCATGGATCACACATGTGACAGAGGCACCAACAGTAAGTGCTCTCCATATTATTGCCCTCAGCCTTACCAAACCCCCTGTCACATGGTGGTAGCTCCATGTGACCTGGAAGGATGCATGCCTACTAGTGGTGTGCATCCACTTCAGACAAAACTCAGCTCTAGAACCGAATCAGATCAATTTGGAATGATTCAGACTTTGTCCAAGGTAAAGCAGGGCTTGCCTAAAAGATGCTCAAAGCTCATTGGATGGTCTGCCAAAGAGATTCACTCAGCACAGACTGAGTCAGTCTCAGAATGTTTTATGTCATTCCCAAACTCTCCGTAAAAGGGGAACATCTGGGATTTGGAACAGGGAGTTATTTGACTGACAACTGTGGCTTCCAACTATTTGTGTGTGAGCTTTCATTATTTAAATTATGAATAACTTTCCATGAAATATCCCAAAGTGATATACAGTGGTACCTCGGGTTAAGAACTGAATTCGTTCTGGAGGTCTGTTCTTAACCTGAAACTGTTCTTAACCTGAAGCACCACTTTAGCTAATGGGACCTCCTGCTGCCGCTGGAGCATGATTTCTGTTCTCATCCTGAAGCAAAGTTCTTAACACAAGGTAATATTTCTGGGTTAGCGGAGTCTGTAACTTGAAGCGTATGTAACCTGAAGCGTATGTAACCCGAGGTACCACTGTATGCTCAAAGCAAATGCACAGAGGGATTAAAAATCTCCATCTAAAAGGCTTGTTGAAAAAGGAAGGCCAAACAGACAATAGAGGCAGGACTTGTCTGATATGTAAGGGGAAAGAGTTCTAAGGGGTAGGTGCCATCACAAGCTCTGATGGTCTCCTTAAAGATGAGCTTCTGTCGTACCTTCTTTGCAAACTTTTTTTTAAAAAATAATAATAATGGTGTGGGTGTGTGCTGTATGTACACACATGTGCAAAATAGCCACAGGAAAAATCTGTCATATCTGGTTATTGTCTTGTACACCTGCAAAAGCAGACAGTATAGGAAAAAAGGAAAAAATGGGTTTTGTTGTTTCATATTCAACCCACAGCAGAAGAGCAGCAGAAAGATTTGTATTCACTGTGAGGCATCCCCTCTAGCATGTTACCTCTGTTTGGTACGAGTTACTAGGTGCCTGAGGGCTCATGCCAAAGAGCATATCTTGTTCCTTGACCTCTTTATTCCCTGAGCCTCTGCTACTTAAATGCCAAACAGGAGTGCATTTAAATTTTCAGTGAGGGATGGACAGGTCTGGCGGGGTCTTCCTCACCCTCACCAGGCAACTGCAGGAGCTGAATAAGGTGCTCTGTGCCACTCAACTAGTGTCCAGTTTGCATCCTGAAACTATACACAGAAACAATGTGCTAGAAATCTAATTAAAATTAAATAAAGCCATCTGTGTGGGCAAGAAATCAGGCTTTACAGATCAGTGTCTCCCTATCACGGCTTTCCCTTGAGAGTTGTAAGGACTAGTTGTGGCCTCCTTTCATATATGGAACACATGAAAGAGGTTTATACGTTTAGCAATTCTACAACAAAGCAATGCTTTCTGCCAATTTTCATTGCACAGCCTGTCATTTCCCAGATACCCCTTGGGTCCCTTAAAAAAAGAAAAGAAAACTACACTAGCAGCTTTCAGTCTTCTGGTAAGGAAACTGATATTCATGAGCTGCATCTCTCTTTTTTGATAAAAGGTCAAGAATTTCCCATTTCAGCTTCGAAAGAATACTCAAGAGAATGCCATCTGGCCCCGATGACTTATTAATTTGTACTTTTCAATTAGGTCTAAAACTTCAGCTTTTGGCACCTTTATTTGACATGGCTCCTCAGATCCTATCTCTGAGCACAACGCGGAGTGAAAATCCACGCGAACAATTCATTTAGCTTGTTTCTCGTCACTGGGATGCAGGTGGCACTGTGGTCTAAACCACAGAGCCTAGGGCTTGCCGATCGGAAGGTCAGTGGTTCAAATCCCCATGACAGGGTGAGCTCCCGTTGCTCCTGCCAACCTAGCAGTTCAAAAGCACGTCAAAGTGCAAGTAGATAAATAGGAACCACTCTGGTGGGAAGGTAAAACGGTGTTTCCGTGCGCTGCTCTGGTTCTCCAGAAGTGGCTTAGTCATGCTGGCCACATGACCCGGAAGCTGTACACCGGCTCCCTCGGCCAGTAAAGCGAGATGAGTGCCGCAACCCCAGAGTCGTCCGCGACTGGACCTAACGGTCAGGGGCCCCTTTAGCTTTACCTTTATTCACTGGTATCCAGAGCTTTGCTGCTTCTGAATCTGGAAGTTCCATTTGACAGTCATATTGAAAGCTATTGATTCATTGAAAATTCTCCGTATTAGAACCGTTTTTTGCTTACCTGAGCATTTAGTGCAGGGGTGGGTAATCACAGCCTCAGGGGCCAAATGCAGCCCACCAGGCCTCTTTATCTCATCCTTAGGAGTCTCCTCAGGTACCCCCTACCTCAGCAACACCCCTTCTCTCACAGGCCGCATCCTTACTGGTCCAGCTTTGGACCCTCTTGAGTGTTTTTGAGCCTGTCTGGAATGTGTGTGAGAACCTTGTTAAAACCTCTTGGCTGCTCAAATTGAAGAGGGCATGGACAGTGTCGGAAGTGCGGAAGATATAATGTGGGAACATTGGGGGAGCATTGCAGAACAAATGATAAAGTCAGATGGTGTGTGGACAGTCCAGCATAAAACCACTTCAGATGCACTATTAATGCCCATGACATGTTGCTGCATACACCTGCAAAAAAAGCAGTGGTCTGGATGTGTCCTGCATCTGCTGACAATGAATTTCAGTGGGTGAATCCAAATTCTAGTGTTATTGGGGAGTGTGAGGGACTTTATCTCTTTGGCCTTTACAGTGTATCACTGAATGTGGGGAAAAGGGCCTCATATATTAATGGGGTTCTTTTTGTCTTTCTTATCCTAGCTTAAACAGCTACAGTAACATGATGAAATGTTGAAATGTGATGACATTTAATATCAGAAAGTACGTGTTAGGAAAACTTGAATTGTTAAGTGTCTCGAGCACATTTCCAGGGGGGAGCCCTGCCCTGAGCGTCAAAGCATAAAAATAATTTAATCCTCACCTGATAAAAGGAATTGTTAGAAATAACTCACTCCTTGTCTTATTGCATATAGACTAATTCGGGAGTTCATTATTTATTTGGCAGGTATTTAGCATAACAAATCAATTTAAGGTGACATCTGAGACTACGTAATTTATATTGAAAGTCAAAATCAAGATTAAAAAGGAAGATTAAGCGCTGTGTTTGTATAAGCAGGACGTTTTGATCCATAACAAGGTCTCCAACGGCTGTCTGGCAGCTGCGCGACAATGGATGATGGCACAACCACCACAACCATTTGTTGCTTCTGTAGTTGTTTGCAATCTGGAGTGGAAGATTAGAAATAGATGTTAAATGCAGGGAGATAGTTTAGCATACATTCAACGGCTGTCTTTGGACAAGTCCAGAAGTGCAGCCATACATTCTGAAGGCCAGAAGTCTCCATAGCTTTGTTTACAAAGAAAGTCCAAAAATGCAGGTAGGGGTTTTGTGTAGTAACTCCATGTCGGGATTTTGTAACTGCTATTTCTGTAATTGCTATTTCTGACTTGGTGAGTGAGCCAATCTGCGGAAAGAACCATAAAAGAATTACCGTACTTTTCCATGTATAAGACTAGATTGTTGTTTTTTTTTAGTTTAAAATAAGGTTGAAAATCTGGGAGCGTCTTATACACAGATAGTGCATAGGTCCATTTTCTAAATTTGGGGTCCCCAAAAGTAGGGGATGTCTTATACATGGGGGCATCTTATACATAGAAAAAATACAGTACCCTTTAATTTGAGACGGTCTGATCACATGCTTTCTACATAATAGTCATTACATCCACATTTCTATCTATTCTGAAGGTTCTGAAATAATGATATTTGACCATGATTCCTTTTATTAGTGCATTTTGGGGTGAGTAGCCAAAATGGCACCACCTATGAAGTAGAGGGAGTTTTCAGAATGTTCAGGGGAACTCAGAGGTTTGTAGGAGTCTTTTACAGTCATACCTTGGGTTACGAACACTGTGGATTGCGCATTTTCAGGTTGTGGACAGTGCTGAACCCGGAAGTACCAGAACGGTTACTTCTGGATTTCGGTGCTCGCGCATGCGCAGAACCACAAAAATGATGTCACGCACATGCAAGCGCCAAATCACGTCACGCACGTCTGCAGATGCTGCGCTTCAGGCTGTGAACGCTGCGGGTTGTGAACGTGCCTCTCGCACGCATCATGTTCGCAACCCGAGATATGACTGTACTATGGATTTTCCTTGCAGCTGATTTTTATGAGGCAATGTTTTTGTTTTTGTTTTGGATACTGACGAGGATGCTCTATTGAGTTAAGTTTTATATAACATAGAAATTCTCTCCTTTTTGTTTTGGTATTTGCTGTTTATTTAAGTAGTTTTAACCTATGTCGTAAACCGCTTAAGAGTTTTGTTTAACTACGAGCGGTATATAAATGGTCCAAATAAATAATAAAATAATAAATAAGTATACTTTAAAAAAAAGTAATAGAACAACAGCAAGAGCAGGAGGAAAACAGACTATGCAAGCTTGTGCTTGGAGAGCGAGGAAGAAAGGAACACAGTCCAATTTGGCTTCACTTGGATTTACTGTACATTTGGCACCAACTGAAGCAGGCTTTACTTGCCCATTGTATTCTGCCAGGTGGGCATGGATTCAGAGCACACATGAAAGCCCAGGAATCAAGTACACACCCTCAGGTTCATAATATTTAATTGCTAATCAGACGATCAGTTTCCTAAAGACTGGCAATTCTTTCTTTTCTTTCTTTTTGTTGTTGTTCCAATGAAAGGAACATGGAGATGGTCTTTCAATTTCAAACATCCAGGTCCTCTCTAGATAACTACACGAGGCAAAAAAAGTTCAACCATTCATTTGTAAAATGCAATAAGTACCTAAAAGGCAAAAAAAGGGGGGCGGTTTGCAGGTCTTTTTATCTCGACTACACTCATTATTTGTGTCCAGAACTTTTGATTAAATTAATATATGAAGGATCAGGGTATGTTATGAATTAATTTAAGTGGCAAATCCTGTAATCAACTGCAATAATCAAAGTGCATTTCCACTTTCTTCCAGCTTTTACTTACATTTCAGCTTCAAAAAGGAAAGGAACAGGGGGCTGAGCAGAGAAATTTGCAGTCTGTCTCCATTGACCAGGCACATAATCCAGAAGAAGTTGTAAAATACAACAATGAGTCTTGTGGCATCTTAAAGACTAACGAATGTATTATGGCATAAGCTTTATCATGCTAATCCACTTCTGAGTTGCAGGTACATATACTGTATATGTTAGGGATAATGCAAGTTGAGAAGTTCATGTGCATAACAGGCCATTGTGCACATTCAGCAGACTTTATGGACAATGTGCACATCACCCAGCCACGAAGTAACAAATGTGCACATTTCTCACTCCAACTACATAATCTCCAACAAGCCTTAGGGAATGTGCATATCTCAACTGCATTACCCCACTACTTACTGGTTCGTCAGGATTTAAGAGCAGCCTTGTTCAAAGATTTAAATCTCCAAATTGGGAGATTGACTGGGTATTTGATTAAGTTTTTAGTAGGGGACAGGTCCCGCTACACCTCTGAAAAGTGGCCTGTTTTGCCTTTAGAGTGACAATTTAAGGAGAAAGGTTTGTGGGAATGATAAGTTATATTCTTCAGGGGAGCAAACTCTTATCTGACAGAATGTCTTGTCTTAACAATTACTTTAACTATGTAATGTCTTTTATTCTGTTTTCATTCTGTTTTATGTATTTTATCTTTTGTAATGGCTTTGGCTAGACAAAACAATAAACAAACAAACTGGATTTTATACATTCCCTGAGCATCGTGCAAAATCTTGAACAATGTACATCACTCCACTTATATTACCTCGAACATATATAGTACGTGGCATGTGGTGGTGGATGGAATTGTAAGCAGTAAAGTTGGAAGAAAACGGGGTGCTGAAAAGAACAGGCAGTGACCGATAATTACATTATTAGTAGTTAGGGATGGGCCAATCCATTGATTTCAGTTGCTCTCCATTTCACTTTTTTTCAACCATAAATTCAGTTCTCCACATTTCCACATCAGGTTGCTTTTAATTTTTTAAGCCTCATGAAAATTCACCAGCATTTTAGTGTGAATTCCTCCGTGTGTGTGTGTGTGTGTGTGTGTGTAGCGTAGATCCACCTTCCAGGAAGCATTCTGAAGGACCTTTGCTACCCTGTTCCATTATTGTCATTATGGTTATGATTAAGGTTATTTTATAAATCGCTTAGCTTTCCAAAATGGCTTCTAACCGCTTTACAAGTGTAAAACCAATTATAAAAATATAACTATGCATAATTAAAACACACGGTAAGACCATTTCATCTAAACATTAAAAACCACAATTAAGATGGAAGATAAAATAAGCCCGTTAAAACAGGAGAACAATTAAAATAGTTAAAATTGCAATTTAAATGATTAGATCAGGAGGTTGAGGTCAAGAAACCAAAGGAATGTTTGTCTATACAGGTAGGTCTTCAAGAACTGGCAGTGCCAATTGAGTTTCTCACATTTCAGCAGGGAGAGCATTTTGCAGCTCTGGAGCTACCAGTGAAACAGACAAGCTGATAATCATTAGGCCATGGCAAAACTAACTGGGTTCCATTTGCTGACTTTGATGCCCTTACTTTATTATTATTACTTTTCCAGTAAGCAGCCTGGCTGACCACAGATCCTGGGTGTGAGAAAGGTATGTTTTTAGTCATCTTTGGTCTATTTCGTAACTGCTCTACTTCGTCGTTGCATACTGGGTCAAAATGATCCTGGGAAACAGGCTGATTTACAGCTCTGTGTATTGCTGAACTCCTTTCCCCTTCATAAATCATGAAATTAGCTACCCTCGAGTATGAAAAAGAGAGACCAACTTTTTAAACAACTGTGTGTACCCTGCGGAGATCCAAAGATATTCACCATGGCTCCCCACAGTATGTGCAAATGAAGGATTCAGCTTTAACAAACAAAACAAAAATAGTGGAATTTTGTGACCATGATGCAACTAATTTGTGTCATGACAAATCTTTGGCTGGGGCTTCCTTCATTATGGAGGGAGGAATCTCCCATCAATCATTCTTGTCTAGGGATGAACAAATAAGTCTATCTCTGGACCACCTCACTTTTCCTTATCTTCACTCATAAGTCTGTCACCATAACCTGCATTACACACACACACACAGAGAGAGAGAGAGAGAGAGAGAGAGAGAGTATGTGTTTAAATAAGTTGTTCTTAATCTATTTCTCTCAAAATACACATTCTTAAATGCATTTTATTATGTTTATTGAGGGACACAGGTGGCGCTGTGGGTTAAACCACAGAGCCTAGGACTTGCCGATCAGAAGGTCGGCGGTTCGAATCCCTGCGACAGGATGAGCTCCTGTTGTTCAGTCCCAGCTTCTGCCAACCTAGCAGTTCGAAAGCACAAAGTGCAAGTAGATAAATAGGTACCGCTCCGGCGGGAAGGTAAACGGCGTTGTTTCCGTGTGCTGCTCTGGTTCACCAGAAGCGGCTTAGTCATGCTGGCCACATGACCCGGAAGCTGTCTGCGGACAAACGCCGGCTCCCTCGGCCAATAAAGCAAGATGAGCACCGCAACCCCAGAGTCGGTCACAACTGGACCTAATGGTCAGGGGTCCCTTTACCTTTATGTTTATTGAGCTAAGAACAGTATTGGGACATTTAGCATTGGATAGGTAAGTTCCAATCTTCACATTAGTTCAGGAGAACATAGTCCTTATGTTCCTATGTTTTTCCTTAATATGTCTAAAGTTGTGCTGGGTTACCAACTCTTATTGAAATTAGAAAGCTGTGTGTAGATGGTCCTCTAGACTTGTCAGATCTAGGCCAATGCATCTGAACCTTCCTCTGACTAAGAAACCATATGAGAATGACTTTCCAATTACTCATCCCTTGCCATTTATTATAATGGATGTATCTGTACTAGTGTCATTTATATGAAATGAATATACAGCTTTGCTGCTCAGAACACTCTAATTATCATGTCTAGGGTATTAAGGTCGCATCAAGCACACACTCTAATATTAGTGAAATGTACCACACAGCTCAGGTTAATTAGGTGAAAGAGCAGCTCACTGGCCTTTTTATTTACCATGGAAGTATAATAGTGTGACTTCTTAATAATATAAATTGGAAGTCTCATAGGCTTTCAAGTGCCTAGGTTAGGAGTTAGAACCAAAGCATAACGCATCACAGGAGGTAACAAATAGCCTATCGAAACATACTACTATTTATCAGCTCACCTGAGATTAAAATATGTTAAGGAATGTTTTAAAAAGAAAGAAAAAATCAGCAGCACATCTGCCGATTAATATATTTTCGTGTAAACCAAATCAAGATCTTCATGGTTCCTTTAATCTGTCAGTTCACCTTCAAGGATATAATGAACTTGTCTAGGTTAAAAATGTTTTATTCAAGGCAAACACCGATGCTATCATTTAAGATGTAAATCCTAAACTAATAGAAGCCGGGGCTGATGTAAAACAGCAATTAATCCACACCGAGAGTAACCAAAATTAACAAACTGCTGTTCAAATATTTATACGGAGAAAGTTCTGTTATACATTCATCACTGTGATTTGGGTGACCAAATTTGTGGGGGAGGATGTCTCGTTTCCCACAATGAAATTTCCTTCCTCTCGGGAGGAACTTCCCCAATGGGGACATGTGGGTGCAATCCTGCTAGTCATACACGCATAAAATCCATTACAGAACAGCCCCAAGTGAGAATCGCCTACTTCCCAACAGTGTGTTTTCTCTGTGCCAACCTGCCTGCCACCTCTCACCTGGGAACTGACAGTGTCCCAGAGGCCAGGAAGCTACCATAGCAGCTGTGCTCCACTGAATGAGCTGATTCTGCTGTGCACAAAGACCCTGGCAAAAAAAAAAAAAGGGCTGCTAGATGCTATTCTAGATGCTAGGTTCTGGGTGGGCAGAGTGCTGTTGGACCCAGGTCCTGCTTGCAGGCTTTCCATAGGCATTTGGCTGCCCACTATAATAATAATACAGTGGTACCTTGGTTCTCGAACTTAATCCATTCCAGGAGTCTGTTCAACTCCCGAAACTGTTGAAAACCAAGGTCTGGCTTCTGATTGGCTGCAGGAGCTTCCTGCACTCAAGCGGAAGCTGTGTTGGACATTCAGCTTCTGAAATATGTTCACAAACCGGAACACTTATTTCCAGGTTTGTGGCGTTCAGGAGCCAATTTGTTTGACAACTAAGCCATTCGAGAACCAAGGTACCACTGTAATGATAATAACAATAGCAATTAAAAAGCTTCCCTATACAGGGATGCCTTCAAATGTCTTCTAAAGGTTATCTAGTTACTTATCCCCTTGACATCTGATGGGAGGGCATTCCACAGGGTGGGTGGTACTACCAAGGAGGCCCTCTGCCTGGTTCCATGTAATAATAATAATAATTCACTATGAGAATAAGTTGTTGGATTAGGTGAGCCTTTAACTTGATCCACCAGGACTTCACTTATATCCTTATGGTCTCAGGAAAGTAACTCAGGACACAGCTGGATATTATAAGATGTTCCACCATTGTTATGAAATTAAAAACAAAGATGTGCTCTCCCATATTCCCAGCATATTCACACTCCTGTTTCAACAACATCTCTGCTGGCTTGGCCATGTGCACAGAATGGAAAATGGCAGGATCCCCAGGGATGTGCTCTACGGGGAGCTGGCTTCAGGCACCAGGCCCGTTGGCAGACTATCTCTGCATTACAAAGATGTCTGCAAGCTGGCAACATCAACTCCACCATGTGGGAATCCCTTGCAGATGACTGCAGTGCCTGGAGACAGACAGATCATGTATCCATCGCAATGACCAGAGGAGGAATGACCGCTGGAAGGAGTACAGAGAGAAGAAACGCCATGGTGCATCTGCAGTTGGGTGGGTGGCCAAGAAAGTGTTCCTTTTTCATTCTCCCCACCCCAAAGAAAAAAAGACCTGTCCTCTCCCTTCTTACCCACCCCCCTCCCACCCGTGGCTCCTCCTCAGGTAGTAGCAACAACCCACAATGACAGCCGTCCAGACAACTTTTCTACCTTGTAGGAAGAGGGCACACTGCTGCCCTCTTCAGTTCTCAGAGTGTCGCTGCACCCACTATGAGGCAATCAATCACTAGTGGGTAGCAACTCTCTGGAGCTTTGCTCCAACTGCAACAGCATGCCAGCTTAGTAAAAAGTTTAAAAGGGGGGAATAGAAAAGTAGTGGGAAGTGCCACAGTCCAGGAGGGTGTGTGTGCTGTGGCTCAGGGATTTCCACACCGTGTTTCAGCCTTAGCATTGCCATTGCACCCAGGCCTTCTACACAACTTGGGTGGGCGACTCAGCAGTTAAAACCTGTCTTTTTAATCTTGCAGGTGCGAAAATAGCTTGACATTCTCATGCTCACTTCACTCCCCACTATCAGCCAGCATCTATAAGGGAAGAATGATGCCTACAAAGGATATAGATGTAGAATAGCAGCTGTCGCGGGACAGTTAATTGCCGAGCAGAGGCGATGTCTTGGCTAGCCGCCACACCTAGACTCTTGAATACTTTAAAGGTCTCGCTTAAGACACAGGAGCAATGACTGCATCAGCCTTTCATGCCCTGCGCTTCT